TTTGATACAAAAAAAAAAATCCTTAAATTTCTTATTTTTTAGAAGGAAATGATTAAGTTAAAGGGGTAATAATTAAATACTTTATTAATAATGATTGTGATAATAATAGCCATAAGAAAATAAAAACAATAATTATGGTGATGGTGAGGTTCATGTCAGTGAGGATAGTGATTATGTAAGTACAGAGATATTGATGGTACATTATGATAATACTCGTGGTAGGAGAAAGGCATGATTATAAATCGATGATTAAATATCTATGTCTGTCTGTCTGTCTGTATCTCCCTCTCTTTCTCTCTCTCCCTAACTCTCTCTCTCTCTCTCTCTCTCTCTCTCTCTCTCTCTCTCTCTCTCTCTCTCTCTCTCTCTCTCTCTCTCTCTCTCTCTCTCTCTCTCTCCCTCACTCCCTCACTCCCTCCCCTCTCTATCTCTCTCTCTCCCTCTTTCATCCTTTATCTCTCTCTTCCTCTCTCATTCTTTATCCCCCTTTCTCGATTCACACCCACTTTATCTCCCTTTCTCCATTTTACACTCCATTTATTTCTCTTTCTCCATTTACACTCCCATTTATTTCTCTTTCTCCATTCACACCCACTTTATCTCTCTTTCCCTCCCCCCCCCTCTCTTTCCTTCTTTATTTCCATTTTCCATTCACACCCACTTTATCTCCTTTTCTTCATTTTACACCCCATTTATCTCTCTTCCTCCATTCACACCTACTTTATCTCCCTCTCTCCCCCCCTATCTCTCTCTCATTCTTTATCTCCCTTTATTCCCCCCCCTCTCTCTCTCTCATTCTTTATCTCCCTTTCTCCATTCACACCCACTTTATCTCCCTTTCTCCCTCCCTGTCTCTCTTTTGTTCTTTATCTCCCTTTCTCCATTCACACCCCATTTTTCTCACTTTCACCATTCACACCCACTTTATCTCTTTTTTTTCCCTCCCCCTCTCTCCCATTCTTTATTTCCATTTCTCCATTCACACCCCATTTATCTCTCTTTCTCCATTCACACCCCCTTTATCTCTCTTCCTCCATTCCCACCCACTTTATCTTCTCTTCCTCCATTCCCACCCACTTTATCTTCTCTTCCTCCATTCACACCCACTTTATCTTCTCTTCCTCCATTCACACCCACTTTATCTTCTCTTCCTCCATTCCCACCCACTTTATCTTGTCTTCCTCCATTCACACCCACTTTATCTTCTCTTCCTCCATTCCCACCCACTTTATCTTCTCTTCCTCCATTCCCACCCACTTTATCTTGTCTTCCTCCATTCACACCCACTTTATCTTTCTCTTCCTCCATTCACACCCCATTTATCTTCTCTTCCTCCATTCCCACCCACTTTATCTCTCTTCCTCCATTCACACCCCATTTATCTCTCTTCCTCCATTCACACCCCATTTATCTCTCTTCCTCCATTCACACCCACTTTGTCTTCTCTTCCTCCATTCACACCCCATTTATCTTCTCTTCCTCTATTCACACCCACTTTATCTTCTCTTCCTCTATTCACACCCCATTTATCTCTCTTCCTCCATTCACACCCACTTTATCTTCTCTTCCTCCATTCACACCCCATTTATCTCTCTTCCTCCATTCACACCCCATTTATCTCTCTTCCTCCATTCCCACCCACTTTATCTTCTCTTCCTCCATTCACACCCCATTTATCTTCTCTTCCTCCATTCCCACCCACTTTATCTTCTCTTCCTCCATTCACACCCCATTTATCTCTCTTCCTCCATTCACACCCCATTTATCTTCTCTTCCTCTATTCACACCCACTTTATCTTCTCTTCCTCCATTCCCACCCACTTTATCTTGTCTTCCTCCATTCACACCCACTTTATCTTGTCTTCCTCCATTCACACCCACTTTATCTTGTCTTCCTCCATTCACACCCACTTTATCTTGTCTTCCTCCATTCACACCCACTTTATCTTCTCTTCCTCCATTCACACCCACTTTATTTTCTCTTCCTCCATTCCCACCCACTTTCTCTTCTCTTCTCTTCCCACCCACTTTATCTCCCTCTCTCCCGCAGCCGCCAACCTCCTGGGCAACTTCGCGATCGCCTTCACCTTCGAGATCTTCATAACCCTTGGCCTTGTTCTGGCTGTCCCTGTGTCTGCGGGTTTGTATTAGTCTTAAGCTCTTTGTTATTGTCAGTCTTTGTTATTTGTTATTGTTATTGTTATGTTTATGCGTGGGTTAGAGTATGTAGGGGAGTTATTTAGGGTTCATGGATGTTTTGTATTGTAATGTTGAGTATGATGAATGGTTTTAAGCTTTTTGTTATTGTTATTGTTATGTTAATGCGTGGGTTAGAAGGTATAGGGGAGTTATTTAGGGTTGGAAGTTTGGTGTTCATGGATGTTTTTGTATTGTAATGTTGAGTATGATGAATGGTTTTAAGTTGTGTGTTATATATTAGGTTTATGTTATGTTAATGTGTGGTTCTTAATATGCATTAGGGATAGGTATTTTGTTTTTG